GGATCGTCAACACTGGGATAATCGACGCTGGAGCAATGTGATGTTTTCAGATGAGTCAAGGTTCACTGTTGATTTTTTGGACAGACGTAGGAGGGTGTGGCGTCGTCGAAACGAGCGCTTCCAAGACGTTAACGTCATCAGACATGATCGATTTGGGGGTGGTTCTGTTATGGTGTGGGGAGGCATCACTGTTGCTGGAAGAACGGCTTTACATGTTGTTGCAGGGCGTGTTACAGGCCAGTACTACCGGGACAACATCTTGGCAGTCCATGTTGTGCCGTTCGCACGACGTCATGGCCGCCGTTTCATCTTCCAGGATGACAACGCAAGATGTCACAGGGCCAGGATCGTTACAGGTTACCTCCAACAACAGAACATCACCACATTACCTTGGCCAGCACTGAGTCCCGACCTCTCCCCCATCGAGCATGTCTGGGACATGCTTGGACAGAGGTTACGTCAACGTCAACAACGTCCTGCCAATGTCCAAGAACTTGCTGCTGCGTTGCAACAGGAATGGGACAATCTGGACCAAAATGACCTTAGACGTCTCATTAGGAGTATGCCACGTCGGATCAATGCTTGTTTGGCAAACAGAGGAGGATTTACCCGTTACTGACTTGGTTGTGATGCTGTGGTAACTTTGCTGTTTGACCCCGGGTATCATTTTACCCTTATAATGGTCAGTCTGTGCCTTACTTAGTCTAACGATCATTGGAATAAATCGATGAATGTGAACTTCATTTCATTTTGTCATTTGTTTCTTCGTCAGTTTCATTAGGTGACTTTAATAACACTTAAAAATCAAATATCCCCTACTTTTTTTGAATAGTATACATAATGTTTACTAGTCAGTTAAAACTGTTAATAATCAGGCAGTATTCAAGTAGGTGTTATGCTACTATGGTGTTAAGACGTGTTTTTGAAAGATATGCATCACTATTGGTTAGGTGTTTGTATTCAATACGGACATTTGAATTGGTCACACTTTTACACTAGAAGTTGCATCTTTTACAGACCTGGTTATAATTAATGACTACTGTATAATTTCTAACCGCTTTCTATACATACTAAACATTAGTTAAGAGTAATAGGATCATTTGTATGATTTAGTGAAAAACATGTTCATTAGTAAAAGGCCTAGGTTCATAAGTGACCAGAATCAGTTTAACAGTGAAGTCATTAGACTGTTTGGCTATCTACACGATAAATCATATTTTACAGATTCCGTGTGATTAGAAAAGGGATTACCTCTAATAGACTTTGTTTAATGTAAACTGTCACACATAAATACAGATTTACCTCACCCAGCCATTATTAATTACCATTTTTTCATTACTCAAAAAGATATATCTTATTTTCAGAACTAATTTAGCCTTGAGTAAGACTTTGTTCTATATAGATTTACTTCATTACAATTCACTAAGCCATTATTGATGACCATTTTCCATTATTAACATAGATTTCCAGAGTTAACTTGGCCTTGAATAAGATTATATATATTGTAAACTGCCACACATAAATAAAGATTTACTTAATTTACAACCACTGAGCCATTATTAATAACCATTTTCAATTATTTATATATAGAGAGAGACATCATTAACACCTGGATATTATTCATAAGTAAAATATAAAACATATATACTATAGAATGTTTATATAAATCTAATACAATCATATAGCCTTTCATAGTTACAAGAACCTTTTCAAATCTGACCTAATCATATGCTTTAATGATACAGATACATAGATTGTGCGAAAAGGTAAACTGGGGCTAGTTATTTCATACTTCTGTAACCATGATCAAAATATCAATAGATTAAGTTAACATATACATGTAGTATCTATTTTATTTCTTGGTCCAATAAGAAATATAATACAAAAAGTCAGTGGCACGGGACCTATATTTTGTGTGGGTAGACAGACTTTGTAATTCTAGGGTAGTGTTGGTGGGGGTTTCTTCTCTCCCCACCCTTGGGAAATCCTAATTTCTTGAGTCAATTTCTAGTATATCTGCAGGAATCGACTAGATTCTGTACTCCTGGCCACTGAAATATACCTGATTGTACATGTTTTATGGGTTCATTGCTGGAGACTACTCTAAAGGCGTCAAGTGACCAGTGGCGAATCAAATGAGATGAGCACATGTCAAAAAGATTGCTTACTAGGTTCCTGTGCCACTGCTAAAAATTTGGTTTAAAGCTGCTTTAAGTTGATATCATAAATTATAATTATCTCTATTCGGTAATGAAATTAATGAAAGTTTTATTTCTTGTAAAGGCTTTGATCATTTTGTTGTGTACAGTGTTAAACTGATAAATTATTCAGTAATATTGTTTAAAATTTATACAGTAAACTTCACATAAGTCGGATCTAAGTGGACTGACAAATTTTATCCGAGTTAAGTGAAGATCTGAGTTAACCGAAGACCGAAATTCAATCTAGCTCGATTAGAAATAAACTGCAAGAGCCGGATAATAATTGATTCAAAGGCACATTTCAAGCTTTTGTTCGTATGTGCGAGTATATAACTTCCGTTTTTCTTTCGAGTAGATAATTTCCGTTTTGGTGCAAGTGGTAACTTACGTTTTGTGGCTATCTTTGAAACTTGCCTGCATTTTCCTGGAAAATACTATTACTGCGTCGCGTCAAATAGGCTGATTTGAGTCAAAATGATACGGGAAAGTATTTCGGGGCTCTGTGCATGGAATACCTAACAGCATTTTAGACCATTGAGACGAAAACTGACTTAGTCAAATTCTGAACATACTACCGATCCGACTTAGGTGAAGGAAAAAAGCCGTATTTAGATCAATTGGACCAAACATTTTGATCCGATTTGAGTGAAGATCCGACTTATATGAATCCGACTTATGTGAAGTTTACTGTAGTTAAATCCATAAACTGGCTATCATTAAAGTGACTATCATCATTTGAGTGACAAATCCCTTGCAAACTACGATACTGTGAATAAAAGGAATAACAGTACACAATTGGTTCATTCCGTTCAATATTTACAAAAGTTTTCCATCAGTCTTTTGAGGGGCCTCTTTTTTAATCCAAGCCAGGAGGGTATCTATCTTTGAAATTCTGGTTTTGTTTTTTTAATTAAATAATTTGACTTCAGTAGGCTACATAATGTGAATTATAAGCTGTGAAAAATTAGATGTCTGAAAAATGCAAATGACGATCTGCAGAAATAAAGTATTGGTTTGATTACCTTTACCATTACATGAGCTACTGTGAGATACATAATAATTAAATTCATATTAAAATTTTGATCAATTTAATTTTTCATTACTAAACCCATCAGTCACTATCTTTGGGTTTTATAATTCTCATGTTTCACCATTAAACGCAGCGCTGCCTACCCCAATGACCGTATTTTCTTTTGTCATTCAGTTCATCTGATTTGTACACTGACTTCAAAGCAAATACATGTATGTCAGATGTAAAAAAAAACCTAATGAAACATAGAATTGATATCTAATTTTAATCAAACTACAATGAGTTAACCCCTTAGCACTAGTACTGCTTGCATCTGCCTGAAACTAGTGCTCTTCAGACTGCCCCAAACTGCCCGAGACATATGATTAGCTGTGGTGCCCCAAGTAATTAATATATGGAACTACAATAGGGAAAGCTATTTGAATGACTCAGGTGGATTGAGGCAGTCTAGGGACTAATAGTTTCTGATGGATTTGGGCTGTCTAGGGATATATTGGTTAGAATTATATCACTTTTCTTTCATTTTTTTCAAGGAGTCTGGGTAATCAATAATCAAGCTATCATATCAAAAACTGATAGCTTTTTCCTTGAAATGCCAACACAATTTCTTTGGAGAAGTGGCAATTACGATTCATGACAAACGCTATGTTATTAACAATCTGGCATTATATTTTAAGGCATAAATGAAATGAAAGTGCTATGAGAAATTTTTCCTGGACAGTGGCACCTCAGCCTACTCTTATTTTGAATTCCAATGTGAACATTGGACTTTGGTTTTTCATCTCATCCAAATGACTAGACGATTTTCCATTCCAGGTTCTCCGTCCTGCGCCCACTGGCAAGGGCAAACCACACTGGAAAATTCCTGGGATCTTTCTTGACCAACCCCAGATCGAATCCTGGACCTCCTGGTTATTCAGGGGTGTTGGGCGGCCAAATGGTTAACATGTGCACGTTGGATCAGACGGTCAATGTCATTGAGTGAAGTGGCGTGGTTTCAATTCTCCGCTTGTATGTGACAAGGGATAGGGTTGCCTGTCCAACCTCACAGGTTTTCTCTGGGTCTTCCAGTTTCCTCCCCCTGCTAAAGACCCCTACGCGCAATAAATAGACAATATAAGCAAACTCTGCACTGAAATAGATTGGATATACATGTACAGTACAAAATGCAGTTCAAATTGTACTGAAACCTATAAAATTCATTGATTTGATTATGAATCGTGAATGTAATCCAGACTATTCCACCTGGTTCGGAACAAGTACATGTGGATCACCTTTACTGCCTGGGGTGTTTGGGCATTTTCACCTATCATCAAGCTATAGATCGGGATGCAAACACGATAAATAAGCCATATAAATATGTGTACCCCTTACAAACATAAAATTTAGCATAGAAAAGGTACAGAGTATATAGAGTATGAAGAGTATAGACGAGTATAGAAATAAAACACGCCACAGCCAGTACACAAAAAACATGACTATATTACAATAAAACACCAAACAATCAAGGCAATATACCAGTTAACAGATTTATCAACTGAATGCATTAACAATACTATAAATACAAATATGACATGATGATAGAATATATAACACCAAAATTATAACACCAAATCAAATATAAAAACTCAAGGTATAAAAATTAAATAATAATACACAGGGATGGATATTATATAGGTACTAAATAAAACAAACTCCACACACAGCCACAAACAAAAATTGCACTAAAGGACCAGCACATTATCCATTAACCCCTTTTTTTTTTTTACCTGATATGAATTATATCCTTCTGTTGTTTTTTCTACATTCGGTTTTATCTGAATCATGAAGTACAAGATCAGTTTAATTTTTTAATGGCATTGACATGTTTCTATAATTAGAGGGAAGTATCCATGAAATTAATTCTATTTAGATCCTGGTAAACATATGTGTGACTAAATCAGATTTCTAAGAAAAAAGTTTATTGTATCAAAATCTGATCTACTGCAATTTATCATGAATTTGTGAAATATGACCAATGAACAAATAATTTTTGTAAGGTGATATATTACTTTAAAGTTTATCCTGATATATTTATTCCTGTGCAAAATGCATGAAGCAAATTAAAGATATGTTTCCACAAAAATTATTAGGTCAACTACATATATTCTACCAACTAAACATGCTTTTAACTACAATCATCATATTTCTAACTGAAATAAATGAAAAGGGGTTTAACATGTCACTGATCTGCACCATCTGAGCTAATGAAGACAGCATAACGCACATGTGGTGTGCTATGAAGAAAATTTTGCCCCGACAGCGACGCTAGGGTCTACTCTTATTCCAAATTCCTACACCATCCAGTGTGCTATAAGGGAAATTTTGCCTGGACAGTGGAACTACGGCTTACTCTTATTCAGAATTCCAACAAGTCTTCTTTTATGTGCACTTTAATGTGTACATGGGGCCTTGAATTTTTGTCCCATCCTCAAACTTACTTTTAACTAAAACCATATTTCTAACCAAGAAAATAACATTTTTGTCTCGATTTGCCTGCTCACAATAAATTAATGTCAACAACATTTTTTAGTCATATAGGTTGCCACACTGATTACTAGCATGCTCCAACCTAATTGCAAAGCTATCTTACAATTAGAGTGACATGACATTTATAATGTGATTGGTTTAAAATATCTATAAAGATATAATGTTTTGGCAAAAAATATATTTTCTGTGGTAAATTTTTATGTCATGTTTTTAGCTGTGTAATGTCTGTCAGTCAACATTTCACTGGGTGTTATGTTTACTGAAGATTTATATCATGATTTTATCAAGGTATAATATTATATTCAATCCTTGTCTAAATTTATAAGGCAGGATATCAACAATTATACACATAGTCACGATTTTCCTCGCCCCAACAATTTTATTGTCAGTTCATATTCACAAAGGATAACAAAACCAGATACCTGACATGTACCTGTTTTAGTCATGAATGTCTCCACCCCATGAATAACAATTCCCAATTGTACTTGTATTGCAAAACTGCAATCAGTCAAAATAAAGTGCTTACATTTACCTCCCAGTTTTTTGTTATATGAAAACGACCTACATACATGTAGTTATGTCTTAACTTTGTCCTAACTTCATATGTTTTTCAAACATTTATAATGTTTAAACCCTACTGATTACTTCCCTTGTTTTAGACAAAAAGGTGTGTGTGTGGGGGGGGGGGGGGAAATTCACTTCTGTAAGAAGTTCAATTTATGGTGGTGTTACACCCCCCCCCCCCATCTTTGATAAGAAGTTTACTAATTTTGCTCATTTATGTAAGATAGATATTTTTGTTAAAATGATTGTTAAGTATATTACTGTAAATATGTCATTTAAATAATACAAATATATATATTTCATTAAATGAATAAATGGCCTTTTCAATGTCAATATGTCTTTTATAATTCATCTAGTCGTGGGGGGGGGGGAGCATGTATTTTATAATTTATCTAGTCTTGGGGGGGGGAGGGGGATGTCTTTTATAATTTATCTAGTCCGGGGGGGGGGGGGGATGTATTTTATAATTTATCTAGTCTGGGGGGAGGAGATGTCTTTTATAATTTATCTAGTCGGGGGGGGGGGGGGATGTATTTTATAATTTATCTAGATGTCTTTTATAATTTATCTAGTCGGGGGAGATGTATTTTATAATTTATCTAGTCTAGGTGTAAAGGTTAGGCAGGAGGACAAAAATTTATTCTATCTACATGTATAACATACACTGCTCCCTTTTTTCGGGTTTGCGTTTGTGGATTGTCTCCCTTGTTGTAAGTTTGGTGGGTTTTTTGATTGAAGCCAGTATAACTGTAGATCTGGGAGTTTATAACACAAATAGATAGTTAGGGATGGAGCAGCTGGATCGATTCACTATATTTGATAGTACTTTTATTGTTTGCTACTTAGAGTGTCTGTGTATCTTGTCTGCATGTTTGTCTTGTGGCTTTCTGTTTGTTTATGTATAGTGCGGTTCTTCTGCACTTGCTATTAGAAAAATCAATAAAAATAATTAAAGCAAATCTGGTCTGAAACAGACAAAAAAATCCCAAGGCTAACTTTTTTCTAGATTGGACGATTGGAATTTTTTTGTTTATTGGATTGGAAGCGAATATGAATACAATATTTGATAAATAATGATTCCCAGTAGTTTTCTTTATAGTTTAAAGACTAAAAGCTAAATCATGATCTGTAATCATCGGAGTTCTTTGATTCAAAGCTTACGATCATGATTTATTACATTCCTATGGATATTCCAGTAATTTGTAATAATATTTACGATCTGATTAACAGTGAAAGTATAATTCTATCTGCCTGACCAAACCAACATTTTTTTTTTTATTTACAAACACAATATCAAACTAAAACCTTAATGATGCATTATTTAAGAGCTAAATTTGCCTATTCCAGGCCCCATGTTGACAAAGCATTCTCAGACTTAAGTTGAGAATTTACTCAAACTTGTTCGCCTTATTTTAACTAAAATATAGCCCTTTATAATAATTTTGTTGTTTTAATGTATCAGATATATCAATAAGAAACTATGTGCACAGTTTTGTGTTTCTGGATCAAAGATATTTCTCATTAAAACAGTAATTGAAAGTTGAGTAACTTAAGTCTGAGAATGCTTTGTGAACTCGGGGCCAGGTTTTTTTTCTGGCTTAAAATGTTAATATAAATTATCATTTAGACAATTATGCACATGACAAATCCATTATGAACTCTCTAGACCGTCGGATAGTTAAGATATTGAGTGGATTAGACAATGTCTGCTATATTAATATATTATAGTAAGAATGACCAGCTCTTTATCCAATTCTTACATAATGCATCTTTAAAGCATATGACAGAAATTGATCATATTTTTACTTACCATCACTGATTAAATATCCTGACGATCGGCATAATATTTCTTTATATCCTTGTCTAAAGGATGGACTCCTCAACGCATAGATGATAGGATTACATGCGCTGTTAATATACCCGAACATATACGCCTGCAGAAAAAGAACATACACAACATTTTAATTAGATAATGTACAAGAGGATGTGAAAAAAGTAAAATGTCTGTTCATTTCAATTTTGGAAACAGATTTGGCATGGAAACTTATACGTTAAAAGTTATCTTCATACAAAGTTAATGGATTGCATTCTCTGAATTGGAACATAAAACGAACTCAAAAAGATAGAGCATGTAGGGAGAGTAATAAAATCATTCAGATGGAATTATCTGATGTATTGTCAATAAGTTAATTAGAAAATGTTTTCACGTTTTTGGTGTTTTAACGGATGAGAGAAGATAGTAGGAAGAATACTAGATATTGAAATCAATGAGTGTTCAACTTTTCTCATGTATGTGAATATAACACTAAGGTAATAAAAGAGAGAAAGATAGCGGGGAAGCACTCATTTTACACTAACCATGTCATTTTGTATTTTAATGAATAACATAAGATCGCGGAAATATACAAAGCATTCAAATCAGCTTTCAACTTTTCTGATTTATTTGAACATTACATTACCAGTAAATAAAATGTGTGTGTGTGTGTGTGTGAGGAGAGAGAGAGAGAGAGAGAGAGAGGAGAGAGAGAGAGAGAGAGAGGTTTAACATCCAATTGACTTTAACTAGGCCATTTTGAAACTAACATAATTTCTATTTTTATTCTAGTGACTGGCATGCACATAGTAATCTTTCAAAGTGACAGGAATCAGGGCAGTACTCTAAGGAAAAATACCCATGTAGTTAAGCAGGCCAGACTACATGTACTGCGTGTTAAGAAGAAATCTCATATCAAAACCATGACTTGCATAGATAACAGACTTTATGATTAACAAGACATGGGTTAGACCACTCGGTCACCGAACCCTCACCTAGAGTAATACTGTAAAAGTATTGAAAGTAAATGTCCATGATGATCTTGGCAATACAAGATAATGGAATAAAATATCAATATCGTACAAAATATCTTACAGTTTTAAATGTCAGCCATAATATAATGAAACCAAAATGAAATTTATCTTGCCTAAAATTAAGTATGCATATATTTTCTTTAGATGTTAACAGGATTTATTTCTCCAATCCTCCTTTTAATTCAATCTGATTAAAATACTGGGCCCTGGGCAAATTGATTTTACTGGTCAGCCAATCGAATTGCAGTATTTCTTAAAATTTTGATTGTATCTTAGTTTAAGTTTTCGTGAATAAGGGCCCAGATGTATATTTCGTTTTATTTTTTAATACTTTTGGAGGCCTACACTACATGAAGATCTGACCAGTTGTACTGGGAGGTCGCGTCAGGGACACACAAGCGGCTTTTGACATTGGATTAATCAATCAGCGTTGACGTTTCTAGGGGTTTACCCACAGTTCCGTGCAGAGCACACAAAGAACTCCCCCTAACAGACAGTTTCATTGGCTAATTCCTCACATCAACTAGAATGCCTGTTACATAACTCTTCTAGATCCTAGTGCTGTGAAGACAAGTAAAACGTAATTTTAACTATAAAAAACGAAACGAAATAAGATCTGTACATGTGTTTTAATCAGATTGCTTTTTTTAGGTAAACTGATCATTTGTTAGACCCCAGTGTTAATTTTCATTAAAAGCTAATAGTTTTGGCACCTGGGGGGCCTATTTTGTATTGCTCTTGGTTACTTTTTATATGATTTCCATCTGTGTTTCGTTGTAAAGTTTTACTGTACAAGTATGCTAAGTATAAATTAGGAAATCTCTTTGGAACTCTAACCTTATTTTTTATCTGAAAGTATGATCTAGGACCAGACAAATCATATTATAGACTCAAGTTGTCAAATAAATCCACAGTTAATTTAATAAAATTCAACCAATGTTTGCCTTTGACTTTGCAGTGCATTCATTGCTACTGTAACATGCTGCGTAGTAATGACAGTGCTTGTACATTCATTGTTTTGCATACTACATATGGCCTGGTATATATATATATATGCTTTATCCACTACATGTACAGTGGCGGCACCAGCCGTCGGTGATTGGAGGGGCAAAGCTGGGGCAAAGTCCAAGGGTAAGGGGGCAAAGGCACGAGCTTTAACTAGGGGTAGGGGGCCTCCCCCAGAAAATTTTGAAAAACAGGTTGCCGGAAATGCAGCCTGGCAGTATTTCAGGCACTGATCGATGAAGTAAAGTGTCAAACGAACGGACTTGCGAATCACGACGAAGCCCACTCAAGAGCGTCAAAGTAGGGAGTCCTCCCCCAGAAAATTTTAAAAAATAGACTGCCGGAAATGCTGTCTTACAGTATTCTGTCAGGTACTGATCGTCGAGATAAATAGATCTGACCAGATACCGTCCGTCGCCTGATCACTAGTTTATCCGACTAGAGAACAAAATGTCAAATGAACGGACTTGCGAACCTCAACGAATTCTCCTTGTGCAGGGGCGGATCCAGAGGGGGGGTTTGGGGGGTCGAAACTCCCCCCTGCTCAGCTACATAAATTTTTTTGTTAATCAACACTTTTTATGAGAAAAGTTTCTCGGCCGTGTGCTTTATCCTTTATCGTCAGATGTGGGACAGGATGGGCACTCAAAGCACAAGATAATGATATAGACATTATGTGATATCACAATTAATGCTTTGCATCCATGAAATTGAATCACAATGTCATTGTATTAATTCATAATAAAAATTGACGTCAAACGAGGTGTTGAATTTCTCTGTTTAAAAAGCTCAATGTGTATGTATATACGCCAAAATGGCGATAGAGACCATGTGGGAGGGGGGGGAAATACATTGTCTCAGGAACCTGGCAAACCCCCTCCCGCAAAAATTCCTGGATCCGCCCCTGTTGTGAGCGCAAAAGTAGCGAGTCCATTGGGGACCTCGCCAAGAAAATTTTGAAAAATAGACTGTCGGAAATACTCTACAACATGCAAGTTTATGACTGAGAGGGGATGTGGGATTTATTCACAGTAGAAGATACTGATTACCGAAATGTATCACAAATACTTTTTTTATTTTCTAAAATTATTGGGGGGGGGGGGGGGGCAAACATAGGGCCCCCCCTTGCCCCCCCCCCCCCCCTGGCGCTGCCACTGTCTACAACATGCAAGTTAATGACTGAGTGGGGATGTGGGATTTATTCAATGTAGAAGGTATTGATTACCGAAACGTATCACAAATACTGTTTTTATTTTCTAAAATTATTGGGGGGGGCAAACAGAGGGCAGACCAGATTAATGGGGGGGCAAATGCTCCCCCTTGCCGCCCCCCTGGCGCCGCCACTGTCTACAACATGCAAGTTTATGAATGAGTGGGGATGTGGGATTTATTCACCGTAGAAGATATTGATTACCAAAACATATCACAAATACTTTTTTTATTTTCTAAAATTATTGGGGGGGGGGGGGCCAACAGATGGCAGACCAGATTAATGGGGGGGGGGGGGGAAATGCCCCCCTTGCTCCCCCCTGGCGCCGCCACTGTACATGTACTGTGGCTCTGGGCTTCACAGTATCTCAACAGTAGTCTTTTGGTAACTAATATATATACTTTACGATGATTAAATATTTAGGATCATTGCTGTATAGGTAATATATCTTTAAACAAATTAAAAGTGGTATCAAGTGTTACAGAAAGTATCAGAAGTCAGAAAATAAATATTTAGGATCATTGCTGTACGGTAATATATCTTTAAACAAATTAAAAGTGGTATTAAATGTTCCAGAAAGTATCAGAAGTCAGAAAATAAAAGATGATATAAAGTTATTCTTACCACTGGATTAAAATGCCTCAAGAAGTTTGTACTTTTAAAAGATTTTGTAAGGACTAAATATGAAGCATAGCCGTGATATGGTAACCAACACACAATAAAACAAGCTAATACGGTGAATAATGTCCAAAACGCTCGTTTCTGCTGGGCTAGCAAGACATCACCTTCTATTGTTGAGTTTTTCTGAAGTCGAACAGCGTGCTTACGAATTTCGTAAAACATTCTGCCATAACAATAAATCATTATGATTAGAGGTATAATAATATTGGTTGCCTGTATAATATAATGATGAAGGTAACTCTTGATATCATGAGGATACTGTGGACCACACTGTGATGTTCCTGGTTTGTAGCGTACATAGGTTAGTCCCGTCACCGTTATCGTAGCAGAAACACCTGCCCAAAACCAAGCAGCCGCCATCATGATTAATATACGACTCAGCTTAAAGGGGTCACTGAATGGTCTGGTTATTGAGTAACATTTATGAATACTGATATACATTAAGGTATGAATAGACGCCACCAAACAAAAAGCGTTCAGAAAGCCAACAATCGTGCATAATACATCACCGAATATCCATGTACCCATTACCAATGTTGAAATAGCAAATGGAACTGGCAATAATCCCACCAAGAAATCGGCCAACGCTAAATTCATAAGAAACAGATTGGTCCGTGTTCTCATACCTGGATGTCGGATCACCACGGTGACAACCATGGTATTCCCGACAAGTGTCAGAAATGATGAAATGGATAAAATAGTTGCCATTGTTGCCGAGAAACTTAACTCCCATTTTTCACTTGTGGCATTATCCGTTTGATTAAGTGTTAAAATACTAGTTCCATTATCTCCATACATATTTTCCACTGATTCGCAAAATTATTTTCCCATTCAAGTATTTGTGTGGAAAAGATTATATATTGAGCTTTTTAATCCTTATAATACTGCAGATTTTTTTTTCGAATGCCAATTTGTTTCAGAATTTAAAACAGCCCTATTCAAACTTCCTATTGAACTGATATCCAAACGTTAAAAATGGAACAGTTTTTACGACTAACACGCACACTAATAATGTTTTCATCCACTTCTCATTAAGAATTCATCAATTGATTTTTTATCTATTTTAGACATCCACGTTGATGCGGAACGCTTTCTTTACATCCATGATGCCATGAAAGGTAATTTTCATCCACAATAGACCTATTTCTTCCTTCATACTCTGGGTTAAAATGTTTTCTGAAGCATTATTCACAGTGATGTTAAACTACCATACTAAGCTATCTTCCTACTGGACGATGCAATCAAGTACCAGTCATTTTCTTCCAGGCACATCAGTTACCTACAACACAAAAACATGTTTTTATTATTAATGAAAATAATTAATGAATTTCACACTGTGTATACATAATAATTAATTACCGTTATCATAGTAATTCATTAATTATAGGAAATGTGGCGTTTACTATCAAATGTCATTAACGCCATGTTTATTTTGATAACAGTAATTGTCGCCAGCAGACAACTATAATCCTTTCCCATCAGGCAAGTCAAAGTCAAATAAGACGCTCAGTGTCAAATGTTTGTATTGAAAAGGTATTGACTTCCAGAATAACAACGCAATTACATTAACTAGTGTTGTCCCGCTCCTCCGAAACGATCCTGTAATTCAAGTCATTAAAATTCATGAAAAGTTGTAATACATTAAGACCTCTTGGGGGTAAAAGACAATTTTTTTAATCAACTTCCACCAGAAGAGAGAGAGAGAGTTTAAAATCCAATGGACACAAACTAATTCAACTAACATGGTTCTTACTCCTTGTTGCGTCAAGCTTTTTGTTAAAACCACACCAAATGACAGACCTTATGATCACATTAGACCGCAGGGTAGGAAAAGATAGGTTTCCAGGCAACGAAACATACGCCCACAGCGACTAAATCGTCTGGGCAGTCAACAAGAGTTGTCGCATATTTTTACTTTTTTCGGTAATGAAACATTTATAATACACTAAAATCTGATCAAGAGCAACAACTCACGAAGTAATTATCAGAAAACTATTAGAATTTGTTTGGTTTTTATAAAGTTCTGCCCCATGTATGCAAAGCTTTTAATATCATAGATTTAACTGTTCAAGTCATAAAAATTCATTGAAAATCAATATACTTGTTCGTCTCAAGATCTTAAACTCTGTGTATCAATCTGAAGTCAATCGGATGATAACTTAAGGGCCATAACTTTGGCAGTAATTATCGGAAATCGTTGAAAATCAATAGGAATCTTCGTCTCATGACCTCAAACACTGTGTATAAATTTAAACTCAATCGGATATTAACTTGAGCCTCAAGAGCATCCACAAGATTTTTTGAAGTGATCAAGGGCCATAACTCTGGCAGTAATTATCGGAAATCGCTGAAAATCAATAGGCTTCTTCGTCTCAAGACCTTAAACACTGTGTATAAATTTAAAGTCAATCAGATCTTAACTTTAGCCTCTAGAGCGTCCACAAGCAATTGTGGACGCCGGACTGCCGGCCGGCCGGACGGACGGACGGGGGCGACGACAATATACGACCACATTTCAATGTGGGCGTATAAAAACAAGCATATGTATCGATGGTTGATAGATTTATGGTCTATAAAATGTCAGTACAAAACTAATAAAGATCACAAGTACACGGTCAAACAAAATCTTTCCCAATATTTGATGTCTGTTTTTGACATGTATCAATAGTACAGTGTAATAAAAATTAATCTCTTTCTCTGAAGTTCTCTGAACACCAAAAGTGATGTGGGTTTAGCAATTTCAATCATAAAATGAGATAGGGATTCAAAATCTCCAGAATCAAGCGGTGGGCTGATCTAACTGAGGATTTTTTTTATGTGTTATTGTAGCAGTGAGAATCTTCGGTAATAACCAAAGACCATGGAACTATCCTTGAAACTATTCATTACTGGAAAACATTAAACATCATATACGGAGAACATAATGCCTGGCAAGCAGAGTAACTGTTCTGGAAACAGGATAAAACCTAGAATGCTATATAAATGTACAAATCGTATTTATAATAAAATAGTATCTAGGCAATTAACAATATACACCAACTATACTAATAACAATTAAAGAGGAAAGATTAAAATATAAAAGACATTGCAATAAAATAAAACAATAAGGTAGTAATTAAACTTATTAATGTGTCAGCTGTCAACCGTCTGTCAATAGATTAGTAGCTTAACATCTAATTAAAATGAGGGATTAACAGAAATATAAGAATAAAAGAAATCTTTAATTGAATGGATGAATAATGAACAAACGAACTATTGAAAGAATAAAATAGAAACAGTTTATGAATTTATCACCATTATATTATTACATTCTAGATATCTGTATGATATTACAGATAAATTCCTGAAACTATGCAGACATCCATATAAATTCATTGTCCTGTAGCAGCAGACAGGTTTCTGGCATGTTGTTATATAATCAAGAATAAGATCTACTTCAAAATTAATTATCTAACCAATCCTATCTTCACCACTCATTCTGTAATGTCAAAATATATCAATATGGAACATTTGGATTTTGTTCTAAGTCAAAGCTTTTTTTATTATGTGCAAATTCTTCTGCAGTGTAGATAATACAGGTGGGTGGGTGCATGGGGGATCTATCAGAATTAGGATAAAATGTATGTATAACATACATGAACCCTCTTATAACAGTAATAAGTTTAAAGATGCATTATGTAAGATTTAGATAAAGAGCTGGCTGTTTCACCATAATAGTACAAGATAATAAAATAGATATATTGAAAACTGCATTCATATTCCTTTGTTCTGAGCTAAATAATCACTGTTTGAAGTATTGACAAGATGTGACATCATATTGTTTATCATCGTAACAATGGTACTTGTTCTTCAAGATTTAGCCTTGCTTGGCCATTTTTAAATTAAATCATTAAATGGCAACTGTGTTTTAATCCGTTTAAATCTCTGCCAACCGATGTTCTACAGAGTTGATTATAGGCTTGTCATGTGACTAAATGATGTCTTAATAATAGTTTATATAAAATTTGAAGCCAAACAAAATACCTGAAATAGGCCGATTTAGCTCTTACATAATGCATCTTTAAATTTCCTTCAAGTTTTAAACCTTACACTGAACCCTTGAACTTTTTGTAAATATTATCTTTGCAATAAATTTATTAACTACAATAACATTATGTTATTAAATTAGCTGGATCACTCAACAATGGCTAATAGTTTTAACATGAGGTAGTGGTAGGTCGGGAATAAAGCTCTTAATATTCAAAGAATGTGTTTTTCTCACAGAAATGCTCCATTAGGACAGATTATCCATTGGGGAAACTAAAAACTTTGCCATGCCCCACTAGTTCTATGTCACCGAGTAACATCATTTGAAGAAATTTGAATAAGCACCACAGGGTCAACGATATACTTACACACAGGGGTCTTTCCTGTAGGAGGAAACCAGAGTAAACCCACGAGTTTGAGAAGGCACCCCTATCTCCAAGCCACATACATTCATACCAGGGATCGAAACAACAACCGCAAGACAGGTGACCGGCCATCCCAAACACCCTATCTATATAGAAACATGAATCGATATACTATATAGTCTCACTCAAGTCCATGACAATCACTGACAATATCTGAAGATTTCATTATATAACTGTCATGTCATTGTCAAATAATCATATTTAGTCTGTAAAATATTTGTATCATCAAAGTGTCAAACTGTCTGATACACACATCCTTTTCTACTTTACTGTGTATTACTCATACTTAATAATCAACACTAGCAGCCAATACAGGATTTGGAAAAATGGAGTTTGTGACATGCAAATACAAATCAACATGTTCTTTTTTCACTACAAAATTATATGTATATTGACATTTCCTTACAATTGCAAAAAAATAAAATTAAGTTTTTTCATCAATATTACCTGTACTTTTAGACAACATTTGTACGAATTTTGTATTTTATAAGTGGTAACTTTTCCGATTGAATTCAGTATTAAGAGAGGCTCTTATACCAGGGGTGTATATTATTACACAATGTATCTTTTTTTCCCTCAATATACCTTCTTTTCTTCCTCACATCCATGCCCCTGTGATGCACACTTTCCTTCCTAACACCAAAGTAGAAAATATCCTTCCTTATTCATTTCTAGATGAAATATTTTATTTTTTGATGAAGTAATGACAATATATATTTCTTCATGTCATATACCTTTTCATCCTAACTCTGCACCAGTCTTTTTTTTCTCAATATTTATTGGCATAAATGGAATAATATATACCCCTGTCTTATACTGGAAAAAGCAAATTTGTGGTTTGAAGATGAAAAGTATCTGATTTACATCAAGAATCTATGTAATATATTCCATATACAGACAGGACAGGTGATCTTAAACAAATAACACTCCTAGTTTTACTTATCCTAACTGGTATAATACTTACATACATATACATTATACATAAACTATAGGTAAACATCAAGTGAAGGCTGTCCTTATCAAGACATAGGTTAATCACTAACACAAGTTCAATAATATTTACCAAACTTAGTTCATATTCCTAATAATAATTTTAAATGCTTTTGTATAGAGACATTCACTAGTAGGAGACACCAAAATAAAAGAAAACATATTAAACCTTTTAAACACTCTTCTAGCACACAGATTCAGACCAGTAATTCTCGAACCACTTACTTTAGTTTTAAATACTTACAACTTTTATTTTAACAATCCAATGATCTTATTGGTCATTCCCTAACATCTAACCTTCATATCAGCACAGAGTCCTACATGTAAGAATCATCTGATCAAATCATGACAGGGTTTACCAGCTTGATATTTTTTTATGATTCTGCCAGTGACTGTCTAATGAACCAATAGTGGAAATGCTATTTCTGATAAGGAATTTCTGAAACGTATGTCTATTTCCTTATCATTTCTCCTCAAAAATAATCATTAATATTAAACAAAACCTGACAGAGAATCAATACAAATCATTTACATCCATTCTAAACAAAAAATCGGCTCCCCAAAAATGGAAGAAAAAAAAGAAAGGATTTATCTATTAATGACTTATAAATATTCATTTATCATGAACTTCCAAAATAATTAATGTGCTACACCATAAATGACCAGGTTCGACTGTTAACAAATTAGCAGCCCATTTTTAAGTCACATTTTTATCATTTGTCTGATACCAGTAATATTTTACAGTAGACATAATTTAAGCATCCATATGTACAGAGAAATATAGGTTGCCAGCAAAGTCATCTGGCCAGTCCCCTTTAGGTTACATATATTTATTCTT